TGTATAATATATTTTTGTTACAAATATAAAATTTCAAAATATTAATAAAAATTATGATTAAAGTACGTTTTAAAAATATATCAAATGTAAATGATTAAGAGGTATGTATAATGATTATGAAATCTACATTTACCAAGGTAAAGTTTTCCCATCATATTGAATAAAACAGCCTATGTGTTTTTCAGTTAATAAGTTTAGAGTATTTAAGATGTTAGTAACACTGGTATCAACATCCATGGGTGCATTGCTCCCTCCCATATCTGTACGCACCCAACCAGGATGTAAACAAGTGACAAGGATCCCATCTTCCTTTAAATCAATGCTCATTGACTTTGTAGCTGCATTAAGTGCTGCCTAAAGATTAGATAAATATTATCATTAGTAGGATGTGTAAATTCTTTACTAATATTTATTGTTAGTGTTACTGTATAGTTAAAATTTATGTTAGAAATGTTACATTATAACAAATTATTGCTAAAGAAAATGTAGCTATAGCTAATTACTTGTACAGTATAATATATGATAATTTAAATAAATATGTCACCTTGCTACATCTGTAGGGATAAAATCCACCCTGATTATTGTCAGTAATACTTCCAAGCATAGATGTCATATTAATAACAGCAGATCTGTGGATGTTCATTTTTGATTTGTCCTCAAAATTGTTGCTTGCTGTTTTCAATAGTGGTAAAAGCGCCTTGGAATTCATAAAAGTAATTAGTATTATTTACAGTTTGGAACTCTTAAAGAGATATAAATCAAATATGTATCACATGAATAACGTTTAAATTGTAAAAGAAAAAACAAAAAATTAAGATGGAAACAATTGTAATAATTTTAACAATATTTTACAAAAATTCTATATTAAAGTTATACATTAAATACTGGAAAAATTCATTTCTTTATCAGAGCTGAAATTGAAGAGAATTTGTAATGTCCTTTACTAAAATCATTATCATAATATTGGTATTAATGGAAAGTTTAGACTCTATATGCTGGTGATGTTTTTTAGATCAATATTTTATTGTCTATACAGATCTAAAAATTCATACCTTTTTACTCTATGAATTCAAATTTGTCAAAAGTGTAACAACTACAACAAAGTATATTAGTAGTGTTCATAGAAAAGCTCTATTAATTAGGATAATACAGAAATAATTCAAATACTTTTAAAGAAAGCACTGAATTGTTACAAGATGTGCAATGTTCAAGAATGTCTTATATGTATTTAGAAATAAAGAATTGCTCCAGTACATAGAATCAAATTTATAAAAAAGCTTATATTGTCATGGTCATGGTACCTGGTAGTTATAAATCTGTGGGAAAAAACTTTTATTCATGGAAATTGTACAAAAAACAAAATAACTGAGTTCCATATTATTTAACGGAGAAAAAGAAATCGCCACAGTTAATGATTACTACTTTAATTTTTTCCTGACATGAAATTAATTAATTTATTAATTGGATTTGAACATACAATGAGTAATAGATGTCGTATGATAATACTCAATGATCTATGCAGTGGTTTTAATGAGATTCATGTACGTACAAGGTGTTTACTCTAATGGTTTGCACAATTTTTTACTACTTTGTGATAATGCAATAAAATATGTTGATTGTTCTATTAAATGGACATACAGTGAAGATACAGTAAAGTCAAGATTACCTTAAGCATTTTAAATGTAATCATATAATTTTTTTTATAACAATGTTGGAGAAGTTAGTATGAATTCAACCTCTATCATATATTTTTATTCATAAAGTATCAAATTTTACAGTAGAAAAGATAGCATTAGATAAAGTGTGTTTGTAAACATAAAACTGTCTTCTGATTGTAAGCCAAACATA